GGCTCTGTAGTTTTTAATGTATGTTTGTATGTCTGTGTTGGAGAAGAAAAAAGAAGAAAAAAAAAGAAATACGTCGGCGACCGCATTGTATCTTTTGATGTCTCTATGTATATTTGTTTATATATGTGTAAATGTGTGTATGTGTAAGCTTTTGTGTGTGTTTTATGTGCAAATGTTGATTAAAATAAACTAGTCAAAATCAGAAAGTCAGAGTGGTCAAATTTTTGCATATAAGGAGTATAAAGGTCTAGACATATAAAATATTAACACCGTTAGTTTAATTTTGAAAGGAGGGGAGAATGTGCAATATTTTGAAAACTACGCGTATGTTTTATGAAATTTTAGAACCATAAAGAATTTTCAACACATTCAGAAAACACATTAAATTTTATGCTATTTTGCATATTTTAAAAGTATTAAGTAAGCTTGTATAAGGTTTAGTTGTATGTTTTTTATGTATTTATTTTATTTATGTGATTATGCTTAAAGAACTAAAAAAATATTTTAAAATATAGAAAAAAAAATTATCAATAATTTATGTTATTAATTTATTCATATTATGCTAAATTTATATCTAATTAATCACTCATCTTGTAATTTATAATTAAAATGAATGGTTATGATTTAATTAAGTCACGCTGAATTAGTATGGAATCCATTCTGCTATAAATGGTCTAGTGAATTGTAAAGTATTCCTTAATTGACTAATAAATTATTTTAATTTGTTAAGTAATTTTAGATCATAATTCATTCTAAATATGATTGTTGTACAAATATTTTAGTAAAAATATAGTAGTTAATATATACATTAAAATCACTTTAAATATTAAATCTAACTCCGTAAACTTCATACAATATTGTATATTTTTCTTACAAAAATTAATTAAGCATGCATAATATGATTATATATTATGAAAAATAATTTTTGGTAATATTATTTTATAATTTAAATATAATTCATTTTAATTTATCTTGTCCATCAAAAGTGTACTTATTTTATTTGTAAAATACTAAAAAAAAATGAGAGCATTTTGTTGAACGAATTGAATAATAAATATTAAAATCATCTTACGTAATGTGACGAAATGAGTATATTTTATTTACTCCATAAAAGTAAAAAAATTATAAAAAAATATTGTTTTTTATATTTATCAAACACAATTTTTCATATTAAAAAACAGTTGGTTATCTAAGTTTTATGTAATAGAAAAATACAAAATAAATCTAAAGTCTTATTAACAAAATCGAGTTAAAATACAAATATTAGACTAGTTTTGGTTAGGCTCCGCCCTTAACCACTCAAAACAGTAAATCGACACACAAATCCACCTAACTAGCGACTACACACTTTAAACCGGCCCGAAACCGAACGACTCACGTAAAATAAATCCCCTCAAGAACATACAAGGCGAAACAAACAAAAAACAAATGTCACAAAGTTGAACGAGCCCTTTTCGGCTACGAACAACAAACCATGGGGTAAAACACCGCTAAAGGAGCTCTACAAGTTACAGGAGAAAGGCGCTACCAAGAACCGCCATGAAACCGCCGGAAAAAGTCACTGGAAAGGTAAACAGAGAGGTCGAGAGAAAGAGAGGAAAGCTAAAGAGGGTGAGTGGTGTAGAGAGAGGATTATGAGAGTGAAGAATGAGAGTTAAACACTCTCTCTATGCATATATACTCAAGGTAAGTAGCAACGAATGGCCAGGATGAAGATCCACAATGGACGGCCAGGATCGCGTCTAACAAAAGACACGGATCCTAATCGGGTCACGGGTCGCGGTCACGGGTCAGGTAAGTATGTACGCGGTTCAGGGTCTGGTGGGTCACGGGTCCGACGAGTGCGGATCGCGGTCAGGGCCAAGGTTTAAAGCGTACTGCATAATTAAGTGTGTGTATCTTATATTGGGGTGGATCTAATTGGATCAAAAAAATCCAACATTTTACACAAGGAACGAGAAGACAGAGAGAACGTTCGTCTTTAAATCCGTTCACAATTTGATACAATATTTTTCTAACCTACGAAAGAAAGAAAGTCATGGTGTCTTAACTTTCTTTTATTCCAACTTCTTTACTTTCCTCTTGCTCCGATCTCCCGTATACCGAAGAATTTTGTTATTTTGATCTTGATCGCACTTCTCCCATTCACGTTTATACCGGCCAAAACAAACCTATGGATCGTTCTTGTAAGATCGGCTAATTCAAAGAGTGAATTTGATCGACGTTTGCTTTATCGGAAAAAGCTAGTATGCTATTGTTTAAATATAAATTGCATTATATACTATTGTTTAAAGTTTAGTCGAGATTTATGCTACGACGATTATGGAGCAGGTAGAGAGAATCAACGCCTTATTAGACAAATGTGACTTCGACGACGATATGTGGCGGGCCACATATCTGTTAATGTCCTTATTTTGTATGTACAATATTCATATTTTGAATAATTTTCAATTGTATGGTTGTATGAAGTATGAATTGAGTGTTATATAGATATTGTGATTTGAGTATATTTGGTTTAATGGATTAATTTTATTAATTGAAGTTTACTTTATAATTTAGATATATATATAAGTAATTGTGAGATATTTTTATTGTGTTTATATATATATAATATTATTTACATACACAATATATTCGACAATTATTTTATTTAAAAATTAAAATAAATATAAAAGAATAAAATTGTATTCTTTTGTGGATTTTAGTATAAATTTTTACAATTGAGATTTTTTTTTCTCCAAAAATATAAAATCAAATAATTATCTTTTATTTTTTATATTATACTATAAATATATTTTATATTTAAAGCAATCACATCAACCTTTATTTATATCAAATTAAACAATTATTCAAATTCAACTTTTTACTATTCAAAAATTCAAACTCAAAACTTCAATCCAACAAACAAACACACCCTAAAATCTAAATCATTACAATATTTAATTTTAATTTTTATACTTTTTCATTAAAATTAAAGAATAAATAAATAAAATTATGTATTGCACAAATATAATACTAATATTCTATTCATCATCTTAATATATAAGGCATGTTTCTTCAAGTCGGGTTTGGGAGAAAATACGAGGCCAGCTCCCCCAAGCACTGACAGTTGCTGCAAATGGTAGCAAAAACTGTTCATGTTAATCTTTTTTTTTCTTTTTTTTTTTAATATAGTTTTTTTTTTCAAATATTATATTTATTTAATATTTATAATAATTATAGGATAAAAATATATACAATATATATATTATTTTGTAGAAAATAAAATTTTCTATAATACGAATAAATAAAAATTTTAATATATATGTTGGGTATAATATAAATTCATAATCAAATCATACAATATAAATGTTATCAATTAAATTTACTACACATTTATATTATTTTATTCATTATCCATCAAATCAATACATATCAAAACCCCCCAAGCCTAAACACAAAAAAAACATCAAAATTCAAACTCATCCCAAAATTCAAATAAAAATCAAATCCAAACTCAAATTCCCCCTAACCTCCCTAAAGAAACATGCCTATATAAATATATATTATTATTATACTACATATATTATTATTAATCAAAACACGCTCACAACGATAAAAAAGTTTTATTAATAATTTCCATCGACTAACAATATAATATTAATATATTTTAAATCTCGTGTCTAAAAAAATAAACCAATTCTTTTGAGACGAAAATTATATACTCCTTTCATCCCACCTTTTGTGTCCGATTTATCGCAGATACAAAAATTTAGCTAAAAATATAATTACTAAATAATTAATAAATATATAAATAAAAATAATTATTATATAATAAAACTAATAATAAATTAAAATTAAGATAACTTAATATAACTAATATTAAAAAATTTAAAATATGTAATTATAGTTTAGAAAAAATGACAAATGAAAAAATTTAAAATATATAATTATAGTTTAGAAAAAATGAGATGAGATAGACAAAAATAAAAATAATAATAAAAAATAAAACGAAAAGAATATTACTTTTTATTTTAAAATACTAATAACACCTGATACATAATAATAATAATAATAATAAAATATCTCATTCAATATTATAATTATCAATTTTGATCCCACTCAAATGAAAATATATCAATTTTAGTCTCAAAATGGTTTACTGAGATTGAACACGGCCGTGTTGATGACTCAGAATGTGACTCTCAGGCACCAACACGGCCACGTTGATTACCCTGCACTTCTGAACACGGCTGCGTTTTTGCTCTTATTTTGAACACAACCATGTTCATACCTATATTTTCAACACAACCATGTTATAAACTATGTTTACGACTATGTTCTCAACACAATCATGTCCTAGGCCATATTTTCAATATAATCATATTGTAGGTTATTTTTATTATTATTTTCACTTCTTGGTTAAAATTATTTAATATATATTTATAATTCAAAATTTTTTTTTTTACAATTATATATATTAATATATTATTATTTTTATATTTTTTTTGCAATTATTTTTTAAAAATATTTAAACTTGATTATTTTGAGAACAATGTCGTGAACATAGCTAGAATATGACAATATGAGCATAAATATGGATATGAATATGACTGTGTTCAAAACATGAGCAGGAACTACCGTATTCAGAAGTGCAGAAGTGCAGGGTAAACAATGCTGCCGTGTTGACCCACTGCTTGGAATGTTCAGTAACCTTCGAAGTCATCCAACTCAGTCATGTTCAGTCTCACTCAACCATCTTGCGACTAAAATTGATTAATTTTTATTTGAGTGAGACCAAAATTGATAAAATATTTTAAATAAGACTAAAATTGATAATTACGACATTGAGTGATACCAAAAATAATTTTTGGTCTTATTATTGTTATGTTAGTATCACTTAATCAAACTGATTGGGAAGGAAGAGAGTAATGATTGTGTAACTTCATTCCTAATTAAAAAAAAGGCGCAAAAGGAGTGCAGCCTGCAGCTTTGTCAGTCAGTTAGTTATTAACAAATGAACATTTCCGCTCTTCTGTTTTCAATACTATTTCTGTATTTCTTTTCTCCCTCGCCTTCCCAAAATCCTCACTCATAATTTCCGATGGCGTCCGCCGTATTCTCGCATTCCCTGTTCTCCGCTCACCACCCTTCGTCTCCGGGAACGAACGCCTCCAAGGCGCTGCCAATCTCCGTTTCTGTTAAGCAGTTGCCTTTTAGCATCGCAAAATCCGACGCCGTTTCGACCAATGCGCCGAGAAGCTTTGCCGTTTACTCGACCTCCGCCGGCGAAGGAAATAGCAACTTCTCTTCCGAAACGCCGATTGAATTGAGTATGAAATTTCACACTGCTATTTCTTCATTAGTAAATAATCTCTAATTCTCCTTCCCCCTCTCTCTCCCCTGTTTCAAATTCAAATTCAAATTCGAATTGTACTCATTTTTTTGTGCGTTTATCTCCTCCTCAGAGTATTCTGCATTTCCCACCGTCATGGATATCAATCAGATTCGAGAAATTTTACCTCACCGGTGTGTGGAATTTTGCTTTAGTGACGTCTCTTCAAATTCATCTATGCGGCTTGGTTGTTATGCATATTAGGGTTTTGTGTTCCCCTTGGCAGGTTTCCTTTCCTGCTGGTGGACAGAGTGATTGAATATAATCCAGGGGTGTCAGTCGTGGGCATCAAGAATGTGACCATCAACGATAATTTCTTTCCCGGCCACTTTCCGGAGAGGCCAATAATGCCTGGTGTACTCATGGTTGAGGTAATTCGTTAATCTTTCCTGTTGTTTTATGTTATGTTGTAAATTAGTGTGTGCATTGATTGTTAGAAGATGTTCTTCATTATCTGTTTGAGTTCTAAAGAGTTTCTATAAATGTGGTGGTACTTCTTGGTTTGCTGGTGCGTTTCTTTTATATATATATGAACTTAGTATATCCATGTCCTTTACATGTGTTGTGCTTTATGGAAAAGTGAGTTTTGAGGTAAAATTGATGTTAGGATTGATTTGTGCTGTCCTTAGAGGTGAGGTGTATTTGAAACTTGCCATTTCTAACAAAATAGCTAGAGGAAGAATTTAACTAAATGCCAAATGGAGTAACTGTACAGGTTCTGGGGCAGCGGTCAATAAATAAAACTTTACAGCATAAATTTACAGTACACGTTCATTTACAACCTACTTTATTCTTTTGAAAATGAGAAGCTAATAAATTTTATTGTAACATGTTCTTATGACATGGATTTTTTGTCTAGTGCCTGAATAAAGTTACGAAAACCACTGTTTACTTGTGTTTTTGAATTTATTTCGAGTTATTCGTTAACACTTATCTTTTCAAAAAGATCGCATCCAATGCATAGTATTCATTTAAAATATTACATCAAGAACCCAAATTTTCTTTTCAAGAAGTTCATCCAACACATATTTAGTTCAAACAAAAACATATCCAAACGCAACTTTGAATTTATACCGATTTTATCCTCGACTTTTTTTGTTAGAAATCTATTCCATTTTGCATTTGCAAATGGAGTGATTAACTGATCAATCTATACAACCCTATGTAGCTCATGACTGTTAATGGAAGAAATGTCCCCTTTTGATCAGTAGGTACTGAATAACACCTTCGCTTTTCTATTTTGAGATGTTTGTTAGAAAACTAAAGAAGGTAATCTACATCTGAGTAATTTACAAAATGCTTGAAATAAGGAAATCAACCACTGGTTTGAGGAATCGTTTCTTAAAATTCAAATTCAAATGCCAAATTCTAATATAACAGTGTTAGATGACCAGATTAGACCAAAAAAATCTTTTCACTTTTAACTAACATCAATGGTTGTTCCTCTGTGCTATTCTCATTCTTTCTTCCTCAAACATCAACTGCATTTTAATGTTGCCGAAATAAAGGCCATGGCCCAAGTCGGCGGTTTGATTATGCTACAACCCGAAGTTGGAGGCTCGCGCGAGAATTTCTTCTTTGCTGGAGTTGACAAAGTAAGATTCAGGAAGCCTGTAATCGCGGGAGACACCTTAGTGATGAGAATGAACCTCGTCAAGCTGCAAAAGCGCTTCGGAATAGCCAAGATGGAAGGCAAAGCATATGTTGGCAGCGATCTTGTATGCGAAGGTGAATTCTTAATGGCCATGGGAAGTGAATGATCCATGACCATGCCTAAATTTTTAACAGTAATGCTTCTCTGATTAATAATCATAATTTACCATTGGTTCAAGTTTTCTCTGACTTGTATATTCTGTTCTTCGAGCTAATCTTTTTCGAGTCCCTTGTTGTGTTTCTTTAGGAAATACTAATGTTTATTGCATTGTTCGATTTATTTCTCACTTATTTTTTCCAGATGTTCTTCAAAGCTACATTTTTGTCATCTATATATAGACATTATTGGGCTGATTTTGCAATTATTTATGTTATGGTTCTGCAGTATTGAGGCATGTTTATTTTAAAGGATTAGATTAAATGGTGATCCAGTTTGCTTTGCTAACTATTTATGAACCAAAATTGTGTTATGTATAGATTATGATTGTGTATTCCTTTCATATCTATCTATTGACGACTCTAAATTTGTGCAATAAAAATTTCTCTCATTTATTTAGCAATTATTAGTACAGTGAACATGTAGGGTGTGTTCTTTTTTAAAAAATATTCATTTTTTTTTAGAAAAAAAAATTAATATATTACATATATTTATTATTTTTATATTACCTATTCAATTTTTTATACTTCAGAGCAACCGAATTAGTTATTACCTTTACATCATTATCTCTTTTATCTCTCTCATCAATATTATATTTATCTCAACATTCAAATTATTTTATTTTTCATCCATTATAATAAATTACCTCTGACACACTACTTTTAGTATTTTATAAATCAAAAATAATTTATTTATTTCTATATATTTTTATTATGTAATAATATATATATAAATAACTTATTTATTTATACATATTTCTATATATTTTTATTATCTAATAATATTTTTATATAATAGTATTATATTTTAACTTTTAAAATATTAATCTATATAAAATTTAATAATTAAAATTATTTGAAATAAATCAATATATATTAATTAAAAATAATCGTAATATAATATAAACGTATAAAATAAATATAGTAACCATATAACTTAAAAATTAATATTTTTATTGTCAAATCGTGTCTAACAATTTAATTTAAGCATAATTAAAAAACATGAGTATTTTCACTGGTAATTTCGTTTAATCGAATATGAAAATGTAGAGAATTGATTAATGAAATTTAAATATATTTATAGATAATTTATGTTAAATTTAAACTTTAAAATTTTTAAATTTTAAAAAATTTTGGATGGTTTTTAAGTTTTTTTTTTTTTTTTATTTTTTTTGAAGATAATGAGTTCTTAATAGAGGTAATAAATTTTTATAATTGTATTTCTTATTAGAAGTAACGAGTTTTGTTACAATAAAACTGTGACGGATGCTCTCATATATAAGTTCCCCTCCAAATTTAAACACAAAACAAACATACCCATCATTTTTTAATTGATGGATTGAATTATTTTTTTAATTCAATAAAATAATAAAATGGAAGGGGATTTTAATTTTTAATATGAAGCAAAAACTAAAAATAAAAATAATGCAAACTATGAAAAAATGAATTGGATAATTTTGATTAAAAACTATTAAAATATTTAACTTAGTAATTGATTTTAGAAGTGAATTTACGTAATTGATTATCTATTGAATATTGTTAAAGGAAAATAATCTCTTATTTTCTATTTTGGCATATTAGACAAAACTAGTTTGTTGTGCACGTTGGAAGTGTTGCACAAAAACACAAAGGGTGTATTCTTCTATAAAACTTCATCTAATTTATACTATTTATAAAAAAAAAAAAAAAAAAAAAATCTTAAAAATATTAAATCAAATATTTATTATTTTTTTTAATATTATATTAAAAATTAATTTTATATTCAAAATATCATATCAATATCAATATATATCACATTATACAACTATTCAAATTTAAAATTTTTACTATTCAAATTTCAAACTAAAATCTAAAACCCCAAACAAAAATACCAAAAGATCTTTTGATTGGTGCATACTTGTGCAAGTTGCTAGACAGTCATCTTTGTTTTATTTCTTCTCGTATCAAGTAGAGACAAAATATGTCCAGTGAGGGATAGGGATGATCTAATGGTGTGGGAGTTGGACTTGTGACCGTAAGGTCATGGGTTCAAACCATGTGACTTGCATGTCGGACCTAGTTTCCTACTCCTTTTAGTACTTCGATTGGAGTTGTTCGAACCCTATTATTTGGAATCGGAGCAAGGAGATAATGTTTACAAAGCTATTTAGTATAGATGGTCACACTCAAGATTTCACACTAATTTTCCAGGAGTGAGTTTCCATATTTTGATCTTTCCTCAAATATGTCTTTTGTCTTTTGGAAAGTCTTTGCAGCAGAAATTAAGACACCATTAGTTCATATGCCAAAATAACTTAGGGGAATTTCCATTCACATTCTCACTCTTTTTGGCATATGAAACCACGAATAAAAGTGCAGGAATTAACCTACTCACGCACTCAATCATCGAAGAGTGAGTTCAACTATTACATGCCAACAAACATAAAAGGCTACAGACAGCCTTCACAATGATATAGGTGTTATCACTTCGTACTTCCAACGAAAATAGTAACAACAGATAAAATCAACAATTAGCAAAGCAGACAGCATCAGAACTTGGCAAACTTCCCCTTAAAATATGATCTCCCATTTTTCCTGCATTACTCCCCCTTCGTGGGAGCAGATGACAAAAAGAACAAGTACTTTCAATTTGCTGAGAAATGGTTGCAGCAGCAACTTTATCACCGTCACCAGCAACTGTTCCAACAATATCATCAAGACACCATTAGTTCTTTCCTCAAATGTCTTTTGTCTTTTGGAAAGTCTTTGCTGCAGAAATTAAGACACCATTAGTTCATTATGCCAAAATAACTTTGGGGAATTTCCATTCACATTCTCACTCTTTTTGGCATATGAAACCACGAATAAAAGTGCAGGAATTAACCTACTCACGCACTCAATCATCGAAGAGTGAGTTCAACTATTACATGCCAACAAACATAAAAAGGCTACAGACAGCCTTCACAATGATATGGGTGTTATCACTTCGGACTTCCAACGAAAATAGTAACAACAGATAAAATCAACAATTAGCAAAGCAGACAGCATCAGAACTTGGCAAACTCCCCCTTAAAATATGATCTCCCATTTTCCTGCATTACTCCCCCTTCGTGGGAGCAGATGACAAAAAGAACAAATACCTTCAATTTGCTGAGAAATGGTTGCAGCAGCAACTTTATCACCGTCACCAGCAATTGTTCCAACAATATCATCAAGAATTTCAGTTGCTTCACAAACAATTTCACTTGTTCCATTTTCACGAATTCCTTCTCATTTGATCAACTGAAAAATACTTGCAGCAGCAACATCAACATCAACTGCAGCACCAACATAAACAACAACAGCAAATTCGGTTGTTCGACATCAAATTTGTTGTAGCAGCAACTTCGTAGCATCAACAATGATTTATGCAACATCACAAGGCCTGGAAATTCTTCAAAATCCAGTGTAGGATTGAAATGTCCTCCACGTCGAATTAATCCATAACCAAAACATCAACCATGGCATCAAATCTGACTCTTGCCATTGCTCAATAAAAGTCTTTTCGTAACACTTTTTCTTTTTGGATTTTTCAACAAAATGTTTTCAAATTATTTTCATTCTCCAAAATTCACCACAAATATTCCAAACACCATAAATATATTGGAGAATTTATTAAGCACTAATGCATGAAAAATCAAGTAGGGTACGAATGCATACCCAATTGATGTCCAAACTTTTCAAACCAATTTGCATCCAACGCCTTTGTAAGAATGTTTGCCTTTTGATTTTTCTTGGGCATCCACACAAATCTGACTTTAACATTTTGTCTGAGTTCTTCAGTAGGCCACTGAATATTTCTGCCGTTCATAATGTCCTTCGCCAATCTGAAACATTTTTCAGCTGTATGTCCAAGACATCTGCAGTATCTGCAGTCATTACGTCGTGATGACATTTGTCTAACACCCTGTGTTCTGCAATTTTCATTCCACTCTCTTTTTTTGTTCTTCTTCAAATTCCGCTTCACCATCGGAACTGATTTGTTTTTTGGAATTTTAACATCAGCAAGAAGTCCACCCTGGACAAATATAGTAGGTTTTCTATGTGAGGACTCACAAAAACCTATTCACTTGTGATCACCAAAAGGTTTTCTAATCGAAAGTACTTCATCCAATTTCTCTTTTCCTTTTCGAAGTCTATAATTCTCTTGTTTCAGCTGCACATTTTCAGCCTTTAATCTATCAGCTTCAGTTGATTTCTCATGAACATCATTCTTGAAAATTTCAATTTCATCATCCAACTTTTCTTTTCCTTTTCGAAGGCGATCATTCTCATCTTTTAGCCTCAGATTTTCATTCCTCAAAGCATCTGATTTAGTTGATTTAACAGCAACATCCTTCTTCAGAACTTCGATCTCATCTTCTAATTTATCATTCTGAGCTTCCAATCGATAGATGGTATCAAGTAGTTCTTTGTTCTTCACCACAAATTTCTTTTGCTCTAACACCATCTCCTCATAGGCTTCAATCAACTCATCAGCATCAAGTTCTATGTATTCCTCTGAAGCTTTATCAATAGAAGCACCATCATTTTTAATAGATTCAGATTCATCGACCATGAAAGCAACAACTTCATCATCTTCAACTTGTTCCTCGTCACAGACAATTTCCTCTTCATCATTGTCACTCCATGTTGCTTGATATGCTCTTTTCTCTTTTTTCTTCACTGTTGGACATTCAGACTTGATGTGACCGATTCCTCCATATCCATAGCATGTTGGCTCTTTGAAAGATTCAGGTTTAGGGGACACAGTGAACTTCTTCTTGAATCCACCATCAAACTTCTCTTTTGGCTTGCTGTAATTTGATGGTTTTTGTTCAGAGTATTTCCGTTGTGAGCTAGACGTACTCACACCCTGATAACCACCACGATTCTGAAACTTCCCATATTTCATTTTTGCTGCACGTTTCTCAATAATCATCCTTGAAAGTTTTCGACTCAGAAATGCCATTTCCTCATCAGATTCAATCAGCTCTATGTCCTCCACACTTAAGGCCATGCTTTTTGGAGTTTCATCTTTGAGATAATTCATTTCATAGCTCACCAAAGTACCATATAATTCATCCAACATCATATTTTTCAGCTTTGGTGATTCATCGAGCATAATCACCTTTGGCCTGATATTTTTTGTGAGACTTTTAAGCATCTTCCTCACCAGTCTCTTTTTTTCAAAGTGCATTCCAAGAGCTTCTGCTTGATTGACAACATCCATAAAGCGATTCTAGTAAACAACGATTGTTTCGTCCTCATTCATCTTCATTCATTCGAACAATGTCTCAACATGATCTAGTTTAGATTCTCGGACTTGCGCTGAACCTTCGAATGCATTTTCCAGAATGTCCCAAGCTTCCTTGGCAATTTTGCAGTTTGATATAAGCTTCGCCTGAGTTTCATCCACAACATTAAAAATCAAAAATAGGGCCTTCGAGTTTGCTATTCCAGCAGCTTTTTCATTCAACGTCCATTCTCTCTTCGGTTTCTTCACAAGAGTAGTAACACCATCTTCATCTTGAATGGTTTTCATAGGATGAGACCATGCACACTCAACAACATCAGAAACGTCTTCACCTTGAAGCATCAGAAAGGCTTCCATTTTATTCTTCCAACTTTGGTAATTTGTCCCATCGAACAATGGAGGTCTTGATGTTGAACGTCCTTCCTTACTCATGTCTGCAATTGTGACCAGATCTACTCAACAAATTAGAGAACACTGCTCTGATACCAGATGTTGGGGAAGTGATTTATCGAACAAAACACATTCGAACACTTTAAAGGGCCAACTCCCGAAGCGTGGGCGGTTCACAGTTATAACTACGTTTCAACAACGAAAAACAATGCAGAACATAAAACTACAATAAGACAAGGTGTTTGTTGACCCGGTTCGATTATCAACCAATCTACATCCGGGGGATACCAATCCAGGAGGAATTTCACTAACCAGTGCTGATTAAGGACACAAACAGCCACAACTCATTTAATTCTAATGCTAGTTATGGCTAACCCAGGAAAATACCTCCTAAGGTTCTCATTGCTACAACCTCGTACTAACAACGACCACACAGCAGAGAATTCCAAAGCTTGATCATTTCCTCCGGTTGGAACTCCATTAATTCCGAACACCTTCGACCTCTCCGGCGAATTTTTCTGTCAAAAACTCATTCAAAACTAAAGGGAATCGATATGTATAGATGGATGAGAGCTTCACTCAATATTCTTCTCTCTAAAGTATGATCTCCAAATCACACATTACCAATCTTCAACCCTATCCGGTTGAGTAAATCACTCACATTCCTGGAATAAAAGATTCCACACTAATTTTCCTTTGCACCGTAATGGAAGGAGTGAGTTTCCATATTTTGATCTTTCCTCAAATATGTCTTTTGTCTTTTGGAAAAAAATTAAGACACCATTAGTTCATATGCCAAAATAACTTAGGGGAATTTCCGTTCACAAACTTCATCTAATTTATACTATTCATAAAAAAAAAATCTTAAAAATACTAAATCAAATATTTATTATTTTTTTAATATTATATTAAAAATTAATTTTATATTCAAAATATCATATTAATATCAATCTATATCACATTATACAACTATTCAAATTTCAAACTAAACTCTAAAACCCCAAACAAAAATACCCAAAGATCTTTTGATTGGTGCATACTTGTGCAAGTTGTTGCACAGTCATCTTTGTTTTATTTCTTTTGTAGAGACAAAATATGTCCAGCGAGGGATAGGAATGATCTAATGGTGTGGGAGTTGGACTTGTGACCGTAAGATTATGGGTTCAAACCAAGGAGATATGTTTATAAAGCTATTTAGTATAGATGGTCACATCCTACAAAGATCATTCAAGGTAAAGAAAATATTTCTCCAATTGTGCAAAAAATAAAAAGAAAGAAAAATACATACATACAATAAAACATGTCATGTGTCATGATCAAACAAGTATTTCAAAGACATCTATGCATAAATGACTTGGAGCTAAAATATATTTTTTTCGTTTTTTCTTTCTTCTTCTCTTTCATTTATATATTTCAACCTATTATAGTTAAATTGTTAGACAATTTTTTCATTTAAAATCTTTTTTCAAAATTTATTAAATGTTAGGACACATGTGTATTTAAATGTATTTGGAAGCTTTTTGCACAACGAGCCACTACAATTGCTCTAAGTAAGTCTTCTTATTTTCGTATTACAATTAATCAATAAATGTTTATAATTTTGGAGTCAGTTGTGTTTGTTTGGGGGATTAGATTAGATTTCTACTATTTATTCCAATTTTTTTTCCTCAAAAAAATATCAAATCAAACACATTTTTTATTTTTTATATTATACTAAAAATTAATTTTACATTCAAAACATCACATCAACACCTATTTATATCACATTATAAAACTATTCAAATTCAAAATTTTACTATTCAAATCCCAACTCAAAATCCAAACCCCTGAACAAATACACTTTACTCATTGTATGACTAAACAATATTTCTTCTTTTATTATTCACTTATTTTCTTTCTTTGTGTGCTCATATTGAATTTCATCTAAAATATTACTCCCTCCATTTTGTATATTTTACAATATTTTTTATTTTGATTTGTCTTTTATATTCTGTAATATTTTTAAAATAAAAATAATTTTACTATATTTTATTTCATTACATCACTTAAATAAAAAATAAAAATACATTTATCTCTCTCATTACATAACTTAATTATCAATTTATTCTACTAAATACTATTCATCTAAATTTTCATTCCAAAAACCAAGGGTATGTGTTTGTTCGTGGGTTTGGATTTTTAAATAGTAAAAAGTTAGAATTTGAATAATTGTTTATGTGATATAAAATGATGTTGATGTAATATTTTTTATGTAAAATAAATTTGTGATATAATATATATATATATAAAAAGAAGTAATTGTTCGATTTGATATTTTTTTAAAAAAAAAAAAAATTTTAATAGTAAAAATATGTCGTAAAATTCACAAAAGAACACAACTCAAATATTTCACCATATGTCGGAAAAAAAAGGAGTATAAATCAGTAGAAATGTATGTAAATTATTAATATATCTACGAGAGAGGTTACGGTGCTGACCCCACCTATAAAATATACAGATAGTATATGTCTTTGTCTAAAACAACATATATTGTATGTAATGAGTGAAATAAAAGTATATGTTGCTGTTTATACTAATAACATTGGCTGCAGAGAAGTATATTATTTGTTAAATCAATTTTTGTATGTGTTGTTAGTTTATATGTTCTATTTGTATTATATTATTTCATCCGTCCCAGCTAAATTGTCCACTTTAGCTGTCATGGAGTTTTAATATTACGTAATTAGTAAGTAAATTAAAAAGTGTATTAAAAAAAATAATTACGATATAAGAAAAATAATTATAGATTAAGATCAAGATGACTAAATACTTTAATTAAAATAAAAAATCATAAATTATGAATTTTAAAATGTGATTAAATATAATTATATTTCCAAAAAAAAATCAACTTATTCGATCACTAATTATACTCTTCATAAATTCACATATATACCTACTACATAACTGCAGAGGCCTCTTTAAAAAAGGACGGAGGAATATTTTTTAACAAAAAACTTGTATTAAAAAAATCATAAGATTAAAAAATAAAATGTAAATAAATATAAGTAAAAACCTTCAGCAAAATCTTACTGTTCAATAGTCTTTAATTATTAACATGCCGATAAAAACATCCCAAAATATATTTATATATATTGCAATGATAGAATGTGGATAATTTTAGGAACAGAAAGAGCATATCCAACAATGAACAACGTAAGTGACCTTCTCCATTTCCACTATGTGAGCGGCGGACAGATCAGAGCTACGTAACGTGGAGGAGGAGAATTGAAGGAGATAACGAAAACACAGAAACACATCTCAGCAAGAAAATGGTTGAACAACATACCTCGGATTCTCAGCTCCTCGTAAATTCTTCCAAACTTTCTTGTTTTCCATAGCTGTCCACACCAACCATCTACAAAGCTATCTCACCAATCACTGTTTCACATCACACTCCTACAATGGCCTCCTTTCCCTCATCCTCACCCCTCTTCATCTTCCTCGTTCTTGTCACAAACCTCTGCAGTCCTCCAACACTGACCGCGTACGAAACTGTCCTGGATGACACATCGGAAGAACACAAGAAGAAGGGCAGTTCGAGCTTCACGGCCATTCTAGTGGTGGCGGATGTGATCGTGCTGGTAGTGATCCTGTTCCTGTTCATCATATACTACAAGAAGTATAACAAGCTCAAGAAGGAGATGAAGATGAAGAACCTTATACCCAAGGACGAAGAACATGACAGCACGATTGTGGAGAGGGAGAGGGGGAGGGAGAAGATGGGAACTCCTAGCCATGTAGGAGATAAGGGGAAGCTGGTTTTTGTGGAGAAAGAGGCGGAGGTGAAGTTCGAGCTTGATGATCTGTTGAAGGCGTCGGCTGAGGGGTTGGGGAAGGGTAATTTCGGTAATTGCTATAAGGCGACGGTGGAGAACGGCGCCGCTGTGGTGGTGGTGAAGAGGCTGAGGGATTTGAAGCCTTTGAACAGTGAGGAATTTATGAGGCAAGTGAGAGCCATTGCAGAGCAGAAACACCCCAATCTGCTGCCTCTGTTGGCGTTTTATTATTCCAAGGAGGAGAAGCTGTTCATGTACAGATTTGCTGCCCATGGAAACCTGCAAAATCGTATCCATGGTGAAATTAATGAATCCTATATATATATATATATATAGAGAGAGAGAGAGAGATATGTATATAATAAGGTTGTGATCTGACCTGAGTGAATTTTGCAGGGGGAAGAGGAACGACGGAGCGTGTGCCGTTCCGGTGGACTTCGCGGCTGGCGGCGGCGCGCGGCGTCGCTCGGGCGGTGAAGCATCTGCATCTGAACACGCGGTCGCAAACGACGGCGCCGCACGGGAATTTGAAATCGTCGAACGTGCTGTACGACGAGAAGGAGGAGATCCTCGTGACGGACTACGGACTGACGTCGCTGATCGCGCTGCCGATAGTGGCGCAGCGGATGGTGGCGTACAAGTGTCCGGAGTACGTCTCGCAGAAGAAGATTTCGAAGAAATCGGACGTCTGGAGCTACGGCGCGCTGCTGCTGGAGCTCCTGACGGGGAGGATGCCGGGGGCGAACGGACTGGATCTCTGCAGCTGGGTGCACCGCGCGGTGAGGGAGGAATGGACGGCGGAGATCTTCGATCCGGAGATTGCAGTGCAGAGAGGAACCAACCGGGGAATGGTGCAGCTGTTGCAGATCGCACTCAAGTGCTGCGACAAGGCGCCGGAGAGGAGGCCGGAGATCGGAGAGGTGCTGGCGGAGGTGGAGGATATCAAGGTGAGCGCGGAATCGGAGGACGATGAGAACTCGAACTCGAACTCGAATTCGTACTCGTACTCGTCTCTGACGGATGATTCGGTATCCGGCGGCGGCGCGTCGATCGGAAATGCGGAAGAGCAGAGGTAACAACCAGTTGGGGTTAGGGTTAGAGAAATGCCGCGAACCACAAGTTTGGGTTTTTTTAATTTCATTTCATTTATATTTTCAGCTATCTAAATAATCTTATTAGTTATCAACTGAAATAGGGATTAGTGACTCAATTATTATTATTATTATTATTATTATTATTATTATTGCAGCTTCAAGTAAAATAAAGAAAACTTGTGTCAGTTTCATTTCAATTTGCATTTTCTGTAGGTACGCTACAATATATTTCTCATTTCTTTTTGTTTTTGTTATTATTATTATTATTATTATTATTATTATTATGAGAGAGGATAGTGTATTAAATAAAAAAATTTAATATTGTGCTGAACACTTAAAATTTGATGATATATAATGATGTTAATTATTTTAATTAATTATATAAATTAAAGTAATTAATTTTATGTGTTCAGTATTTTGTCCTTTTTATAATTTTAAAATAAAATTAATTATTTGATTAAATATTTAATGTAAAAATATATAATAATTTATCTGTTCTATCATAGTTGATGCATTTTCATTTTAGTTTTATTTTATAACCGTCTATTGTTTATATTTTTAAGAAAATTATTAATAGTAAGAATATTTAAAAAATATAAATTAAATTAAATTAAATTAAATTTCTAACATTTAATGTGTATAATTTACTCAAAAAAAAACTTTATTTATATTTTTTTTAATAAAAAAATATTTTTATTTATATTTATAACTTTTTATTTTTTTAAAAAAAATAAAATAGTTTATGTTAATAATAGATAAATATAAATGTTTTTATTAAATTGTATTATATAAAATTTTATTTTTTACAAAATATATCAATATTGTTTACTATTTTATTGAGATACATATATTTAAAACATTTAAATATATATTTTTAAAAAATTAATCATATATATTAATCTTTATTTAAATATAAAAAAATCACCACTCACATTTTTTTTATATAAAATATTAAAGTTTTTTGGTTTAATGTTTTAATTTGAGATGGTTTTTTTTTTAAAAAAAATGATAATTGTGTAGGTAATAAAATAAATAATTTTTTTTATTAAATTATTGATTTTTTAACCACAATAGAATATAAATATTATATATGGAGAATTATGTTAAAAAAAAAATTAATGTCTAAAGATTCTGCTTCATATGCCGTGGGGGTAGGATGACAACAACAACCAAATGAAGTACTTAAAATTAAACCTTTCTTCCGATAAAAAATAAATTTAAGGATGTATTTTTTTTTTGTTGAGTTTTAGAAAATTTAATTTGAGTTTGGTATTAAAATAATGTTTAATGAGATATTTTATGAAAAAAAAAATATTTTTTTTTGAAAAACACAGAGCCAAAATCCAAATGCAGCTCAATGAAGGATAGAGGACCCGAATTCAAGTCGAAGACCAAAAGAATACTAATAGAAAAAAAATGTAGAAATTTACAGATTAATCCAAATGTGCAAAATGTGCCGAGACGAAAGAAAAATTTTGCAGCATGCCATAAAATGCACAAAATTGTACATAATGGAAAGAATAAATGAATTGGGGCTGGACGACAACGGGAACTGGGATGGGGAGCTGGCTAAAATTGAATTTGTTTATGTTAAGATAATCTCAATTCCTCTACATCTATTTTTGGCATAGTGACAAAAACACTTTTTGCTTCTGTGGTCGTTGGCTTTCAAAAACAGCAACTCTGGCCCTGCTGGTTAAGTCCAATCATGCAGCCCTTGTGTCCCCTCAATGTTGGTGGCTGCTCAAAGACAAATTGGATATCTCGAATTTGTCCTCTTGTGATCAGAACTGATTTGATACAACATCATTCCTTGGTTAGATCAAAGGGAATTTAATGCATGTCATTTCATGACTGCTGTGGTGGTGTGTTACACTGTATTTGAGTTTTGGGAAGTAGAGAGTGTGTTTGAGAGAGATTGGGTAGTAAGATAATTAGTGTGCTTATCCTCTCTACAACTTCCCGTCCACCTCCATGCATTAAGTAAGTGATTTACATTGTATTTCTGTTGGAGAAGCTTGGAGATCAAAGGAAGACTGGAGTTCTGATCAGGGGAGCATTCGAACTCTGTGCAGCCCAGCTATGACGGTTGTTAGTACGCGTTTGTAACAACTGAAACCTTGGAGGGTAATTAATTTGTAGCGTGGGTTGGTGGTAGTTTGAGTGTTTTGTTATTAATCAGCACTGATTAATGAACACCTCCTGGATTGGTATCCCCCGGATGTAGGATGGTTTATATCCAAACCGGGTAAACAAATAGCATGTCATTTATTGCTTTGAAATACTTTCATTTATTTCATCGACAAGTGGGTGTCATAACTGTGATATAACTACGCTTCGGGAGTTGGCCCATTTGGATATGTGTACGAGGATTTATTGGAATTGCACTCATTTCCAACCCAACATTTGGTATCAGAGCAGTGTTCTCTAAGTTGCTGAGTAGATTCTCTCACAGTTTGCAAAGATGAGTAAAGAAGGTAGATCTACATCGAGACCTCCACTGTTTGATGGAACAAGTTATCGAAGTTGGAAGAACAAAATGGAAGCCTTTCTGATGTTACAAGGTGAAGATGTTTCTGAAGCTGTCGAGTCTGCATGGTCTCATCCTATGAAGACCATTCAAAATGAAGATAATATTGTCTCTCTTGTGAAGAAACCAAAAAGAGAATGGACTCTCAATGAAAAGGCTGCTGCAATCGCCAACTCGAAAGCCTTGTTTTCGATCTTCAATGCTGTTGATGAAACTCAAGCAAAGCTGATATCAAACTGCAAAGTTGCTAAGGAAGCATGGGATATTCTTGAAAATGCATTTGAAGGGTCTGTGCAGGTTCGAGAATCAAAGTTGGATCATGTAGAAACTCTGTTTGAAGCACTGAAGATGAATGAAGATGAAACAATTGCTGTTTATCACAACCGATTCATGGATGTTGTGAATCAAGCTGAAGCTCTTGGTATGCACTTTGAAGAAAAGAGACTGGTGATAAAAATGCTTAAAAGTCTCACAAAAAATTTTAGGCCAAAGGTGATTATGCTCGATGAACCACCTAAGCTGAGACACATGACATTGGATGAACTATATGGTACATTGGTAAGCTATGAAATGAACTATCTTGAAGATGAAGCACCCAAAAGTGTGGCTCTGAGTGCTGAAGACTTGGAGATGATTGAGTCTGATGAAGAAATGGCTCTGCTGAGTCGTAAGCTCTCTCGAATGATCAGTGAGAAACGAGCTGCCAAGCTAAAGTTTGGGAAGTTTCAAAACAGGAATAGCTATCAGGGAGGGGGTACTTCCAGCTCTCAGCAAAAGTATCCTGAGCAGAAACCAACTGCATACTGCAAACCGAAAGAAAGGTTCGATGGTGGATTTAAGAAGAAGTTTGTAGTGTCTGCAAAACCTGAGACGGTTCAAGAACCTATCTGTTATGGATGTGGTGGTGTTGGACATATTAAATCTGAGTGCCCAACAGTTAAGAAAAGGGAGAAGAGGGCATATCAAGCTACCTGGAGTGACAATGAAGATGGTGAATCTGCTGGTGGTGATGAACAGACTGAAAATCATGAAGTTGTTGCATTCATGGCAGATGATAATGATTCCAGTGATGAAAAGACAGAATCCAGTTCTAAAACTACTGATGAGTCAAGAGAACTTGATACTGATGAACTGATTGAGGCTTATGAGGAAATGGTTGCCGAGCAAAAGAAAGCTGTTGTAAAAAATAAAGAACTTCTGGATACCATTTATCGTTTGGAAGATCAAAAGGAGAAACTTGAAGATGAGCTTGAGAAGTTGACGAAGATCATTGAAGAAAAATCTACTGAATCAAAGGAATTGAAATATGATAATCTGAAGTTGAAGAATGAAAATGATAGACTTCAGAAAGGGAATGATAAATTAGATGAAGTCCTCTCAATTGGTAAACCGTTTGGTGATCACAAAGGATTAGGCTTCTGTGAATCCTCTCAAAGTAGACCAACTACGTTTGTGCGAGGTGGTCTGCTTACTGATGTCAAACTTCCAGAAAAGAAATCAACTCAAGTCTGGAAACAGAATTCAAGAAAGAGAAGAAGCAGAATCAGAAACAAAAACCACAGAGAAATTCTGAGTGAGAAAACAAAGCTGTCACAACCCACTGACTATAAGTACTGCATGTATCCAGGCCATTCGGCTGTGAAGTGCTTGAAGCTGGCAAAAGATGTTATCAATGGAAGACGGATTCAATGGCCTACTGAAGAGCTGAAACATAACATTAAGGTCAAATTTGTATGGATACCTAAGGAGACTCAGAAACAGCTCGAGTGTAATGTGATCTTGTCAAGTCAAGAGTCTACCAGAGCTGATCGATGGTACTTTGATAGTGGTTGCTCAAGGCACATGACTAATCAAAAGGGAATTCTGAAGAATTTTGTCGAAGACCGAAGTGGAGAAGTCATTTTCGGGGATGGAGCAAAAGGAAAGATCAGTGGCTATGGTATTCTTGAAAAATAAGGAATTCCAAGGTTATCAAAAGTCTATTTTGTAGAAGGGCTGAGTACAAATCTGATCAGTATAAGTCAACTATGCGATGATGATCTACATGTGAAGTTCACCAAGGATTCATGTGAAGTTTATGACACTGCACAAAAATGTGTGATGACTGGTATTCGTTCGAAGAACAATTGTTACTTACTGGAATATCCTCAAATGGAAGCACTGATATTAAAGGATGATGAATCGATGCTGTGGCACACCAGATTAGGTCATGTGAATCCTCAGAATCTGTTGAGGATTAGCAAAATTGGGGCTGTCAGAGGACTACCAAAATTTTCAAAGATTCCAAATACTACTTGTGGTGACTGTGCAAGAGGAAAGCAGAAAAGGACTGTGCATTCCTCATTGGAACAACGGTTCAGCAGCAACTGTCTGGAGCTGTTACATATGGATCTCATGGGTCCAGTTGATGTTTGCAGTCTTGGAGGAAAGAAGTATATCTTGGTCTGTGTAGATGATTTTTCGAGATATACTTGGGTCGATTTCTTACGTGAGAAAAGTGATGCGTTTGATGCCTTTGAGAAACTAGGTACGAGACTCATGAATGAGAAGAAGTCAAAGATTGACAGATTGAGAACAGATCATGGAAAGGAATTTGAAAATCAAAGATTTGCTGGTTTTTGCAATGGGTTGGGAATCAGGCATGAATTCTCTGCTCCAAAGACTCTACAACAAAACGGAGTAGTGGAAAGGAAGAATCGAACGTTACAAGAAATGGCTAGGTCAATTATGCATGCAAAAGGAGTTGCCAAATATCTGTGGGCAGAAGCTGTCAACACAGCTTGCTATGTGATTAATCGAGTGTATCTCAGACCTCATACAGAGAAGACAGCCTATGAAATCTGGACAGGGAAGAAACCAAATGTTTCTTACTTTCATACCTTTGGATGTAAGTGCTATATAATGAATGACAGAGATCAACTTCATAAGTTTGATACTCGATCAGATGAAGGCATATTTTTGGGATACTCTCTGAACTCGAGAGCTTACAGAGTTTTCAACAACCGTACCAAGAAAGTGATGGAATCCATGAATGTGATGTTCGATGATACCATCTCAGAGAAGAAATCTATTCACTCAATTGATGATGATGATGAAACTGCACCAGATGTTAAGGTGACTCAGAATCCTTCAGAGGTTCAAGTCATTCCTCAGTCTCAAGATGTTCTGCCACAGACTGGTGACAATATTCCTGCAGAAAGTTCTGTAAGATTCGATTAGTCAGAACCTGAGTGTTCAACGGATGTAACAACTACCAATCAACAACCTACTGAAACTGAATCTGATGCTGAAGTGAGAAGACATGGTTCCAGAGTTTCACATAACCATCCAATTGACGCAGTTATTGGTGATCCAAAGGGTGGTCGACTGACTCGAGGGAAACAGATTGATTTCAAGAATTTGTCTGGGATGAATTGTTTTATTTCTACAGTTGAGCCAAAGACAGTAGACGATGCCCTCAAGGACGAATACTGGATCAATGCAATGCAGGATGAGTTGAACCAGTTCACAAGAAACCGAGTATGGTATCTGGTTGAAAGACCAACTGATGTGAATGTCATTGGAACTAAGTGGATCTTCAAGAACAAATCTGATGAAAAAGGGAATGTTACCAGAAATAAGGCGAGATTAGTTGCACAAGGGTACACACAAATTGAAGGGGTTGATTACGATGAAACATTCGCTCCTGTTGCTCGTATTGAAGCAGTGAGATTGCTGGTGTCTGTTGCATGTTCCTTGGGTTTTACTCTCTACCAGATGGACGTCAAGACAGCATTTTTGAATGGATGGATTAAAGAAGAGATCTATGTAGAACAACCAAAAGGATTTGTGGATCCTTTCCATCCAGATCATGTCTACAGGTTACGAAAAGCCTTGTATGGATTAAAGCAAGCACCTAGAGCATGGTATGAAAGATTGTCAAATTATCTGCTGGAGAAAGAATACGTTCGAGGATCAACTGATAAGACAATGTTTATCAAGTTGAAGGGAAAAGATTTGATGATTGCACAGGTGTATGTTGATGATATTGTGTTTGGGTCGACTGCAGAATCCTTGAAGAATGAATTTGTGAAATTCATGGAAGCCGAATTCGAAATGAGCATGATAGGTCAGCTTAATTACTTTCTCGGATTGCAGGTTAAACAACTTGCAGATGGTATCTTTCTGAGTCAAACCAAGTATGCTCAGAACATGGTGGAGAAGTTTGGACTTCGAGATTCAAAAGGAGTCAGAACTCCTTTGGGACAACAAGAAAAGTTGTCGAAAGATGATGATGGAAAAACAGTTGATCAGAAACTCTATAGAAGCATAATTGGAAGTCTTCTCTACCTGACTGCAAGTCGTCCAGACATCTCCTTCAGTGTTGGTGTATGTGCAAGATTTCAATCTACTCCTAAGGAATCACATATTAAGGCAGAAAAAAGAATTCTCAGATATGTCAAAAGAACGACAGAACTAGGACTGTGGTATTCCAACAGGTCTGGTCTTGATCTCATCGGATTCACATATTCAGATTGGGCTGGCTGTTGTGATGACAGGAAGAGCACAACAGGTGGATGCTTTTATATTGGAGATAACATTGTTAGCTGGAGTTCGAAGAAGCAAAATTCCATTGCCTTATCCACTGCCGAAGCTGAATATATAGCTGCTGGAAGTTGCTGTGCTCAGTTGTTGTGGATTCGACAAATGCTGCATGATTATGGTATTGCTCAAGACTCATTCACCCTGTTTTGTGACAATACTAGCGCCATCAATATTTCCAAGAATCCCGTTCAACATGGAAGAACCAAGCACATCGACATACGGTACCATTTCATTCGAGACTTGGTGGAAAATGGAGTATGTGATTTAAAGCACATTGGAACAAATGATCAAAAGGCTTATATTCTCACAAAGGCTCTAGATGCTGATCGATTCGAAAAGCTACGAAGGGATTTGGGTATGTGCTCAAGTCCTCCTTGATGATGCTTGCTTAAATAAATAAATAAACATCTCCATTTTCTTATAATTTGGGAGAAAATTGGAGATTAAAAATTAGTCTTCTGAAAATATCAAAAAGAAGAAGGATCACTTCGTAAAAAGAGAATATCTGAACCAAGGATATTATCGGTATTTTGAGAAGGGTTTTAATTTAAAACCCAAAAAGGGATGATTTGACGGCTCTGCGTCGCTGTTCTGGCTGTCATCACAGCCTTCTGGGAAGTGGTGTTTCAGAGGAAATTGAATACATAACTCGAACAGATCACTCGTCTTCCTCATTTCGCGTGAACTCATATTTCGCTGAGTGCAGTGGTGAGAGTTATCTTTACTCTTCTTCCTACAATTTTCTCTTGGAGAGAACAATGGTGCGAACTCGCTTTGGAAAGGAAACAGGGTCTGGAAGTACAGTTGCTCGAGGACGAGGTCGTGGAAGAAATAGAGGTCGTGGGCGCCGTGGTGGACAAACCAGTTCTTCTCTACCTCCAGGCGAACCAGTTAGTGAGATTCCAAATCAACCTGAAGCAAGCGAGGAAGTTCAGGCTGTGGTCACTGACAGTGTGACTCCGCCCTCTCCTAGGGATCACATTGCTGATGCTGAGGAACTTGTGCAGAAAACCCTTGATGAAACTCAAAATGATATTCCTGAGGATGATATTCCTGGAGATCAAGCGACTAATCATGCTGAAAAAGAGGACGATGGGAAGGAACAAGAGGTTGGTGAAGCTGATCCCAGAAATGTTGAGGAAGACACCATGATACATTCTGAGAGAGCCCCTGAATCTGAACAACAGAGGATTGAAAATGGTACTTCTCCCCTTCATCCTGAGGAACCAGCGGTTACTCATGAAGGTGCAACTGCTGAACTTTCTTTGTCTCTTTCTGATGAAAGTCTCAACACAATCATTGATAGAACTGTTGACAAACTTTTTTCTGAACGAATGGAGCGTGAAAATGCTGTGGGGATGCCTGCACCATTTGAACCAGAAACCAAGTCTGACGACTCGGACAATGCCCCTCTTGCCACTCTGAGAAAACGCCATTCTGGAAAACAAAAGAAGAAAAGGAAGATTTCTGATGACTTCTCTGGTCCTTCAAAGAAAAGAAAGAAGGAAGTGATTGCCAAGAATGAAACTGAAGCCAAAGAAGACAAAATCTCGAAAAAGGAAAGCTACACTGTCCCCCAGTCTCGGCTGAACAAGCAATGGACGTTACACATTTCGACGATGGAGCAGAGTTGTTCGAATACGATATCTTAGCCAATCGGAAATTTGTTCCTGAGGCCCGTTTTACCGACCCCCTTCACAAAGACGTTGGCTTCCTTGCTTTCTTGAGGATGAAAGGATTGCGACGTTGGGCAGTTTCTCTCAAATCCTATTGCCCGAAGCTTGTCCGAGAGTTCTATGCCAATGTCACACGAGACGTACTGGAAGAGGAAAGTCCTTGGTTCCACAGGGCATATGTATGGGGAAAGATGATTGAACTCAGTCCTCAAGTGATAAACAATTTACTACATCGTCCGTCTGATAATCCTGAAGTGTTTCCTTCTGCCCTGATCAAAGAATCCAGAAGAGAAGTGGCACTTCGACTATCTGCATGGAAATCAGATGACTTTGGACGTTCTGGCCTGGCTGCAACTGAACTGACCATGAAATATCAGTGTCTGTTTCGATTCTGCGCAATGAATGTTTTTCCCACAAGCAATGGGACCAACATTGGATATGAGATGGGTAAACTACTTCTCTGCATTGACAAATTTTGTGCTGACATCAATTTTAGCTTTGTTGTCATCTCCAGAATGATGAAGTATGCCCGTGGCAAGTCTTTTGACAAAACGAACCTTCCATATCCGGCCCTTATTACATTGTTACTGAAGCAGAATGGGATCCTTCCTGATCCCACTGAAGATTCAATTCAAACAACATTTTTCAAGCCAAGGTCGAACCTGCAAAAGCTTTTCAACGACTTTAAGGAACCTC